GCGGACGACCGTGGCTACTACACTGGCGTGGAGTACACACCCACAGAAGTTGTTAAGCCTACGTTCGTACACCCACAGAAGTTGTTAAGCCTTGTAAACCCACAGAAGTTGTTAAGCCTTCCACAGAACATCTGTTGCATATGATGCATATGGTACATGATACACATGATACACATGATACGTACTCACAAGATAGTTGATCACATCTTTAGGGCAAATGCCTGAGGGATGTGGGAATACACAAGAGAGAGAGGATATGGTTGTCCCGATGGTTGTCTCGATGGTTGTCCCGATGGTTGTCCTGATGGTTGTGGTTGTCCCGATCGTTGTCCCGATGATTGTCCCGATGGTTGTCCTGATGGTTGTGCTTGACCCGATCGTTGTCCCGATGACTGTCCCGATGATTGTCCCGATGGTTGTCCCGATGGTTGTTCCGATGGTTGTCCCGATGGTTGTCCCGATGGTTGTGAGCGATGCCGGATCCTCACGCCCCCCGCCGGAGGAGGAGGAGGAGGAGGAGCAGGACAAGGAGGAAAGGAGAGAAGAGAGAGGAGGGGCGGGAACGGCGCTTGCACGCCCACCCACCGTCTTTTCCCCGCCGCGGCTTTAAAGAGACGAGTTCGTGTGCTCGTCATCTTCTGGGGGACGTTTTATTCTCGGCGGCCGAGGGCGCAACCTATGGCGCAACCGCAAGGGATTGTGGCCCCTGGCAGGCGCGCGAACCCCGTTGCAAGAGCTTGCGAAAGTAGCTCGCGCGAGCTCATGTAACATAAATGTTGGAAAACCATTGGTTTTTTTAGGATTCGGACAGCGCGCGCGGGTGGAAATTTTGAAAAGTCGTGCAGGTGTTTTTCGAGAACCTACGGTGCGATTCGTGTGATTTTATGATGCGCGGTGCTAAAATTCTTAAGAAGCCCAATGGTTTTTGGAGATTTCGGCGTGCGCGCGCGAAGAAAAAACGAATGTGTCCCGCATGGTATTATTTGACAGGGATGATGGCCCTGGCAGGTGCGCAACCGTTGTCGCAGAATTTCGAAAAAGTTGCTCGCAAAAGCCCGTTTGACAGAAATGTTTAAAAAGTGTTGGTTTTCCTACGAATCCGCAAGAGCGCGCGGGATGAGATTTTGACATTTTTTTTGTTGAAAAACCATTGGTTTTTTGTTGTTTTTATGTTAAAATCGCTCCGAACACTAAGCTTTTGGAAGGATTTCGTCTTGCGCGCGCGAATGTCCACTTTACCTTATTTTTTGCAAGGGATTCTTGAAATTTGATTATATTAGAACAAGAAATGTCATTTTATAGTGTTTTTTTGCAAGGGAAAACGGATTACAACAAAACAACCTGATCTGGATCACATCGTTTTACCTGAGGCTTCCTCACGAAAATGATGAAAACGTGGCTGCGGCCTAGGCGCGGCGGGGGGGGCGTGCACCAGGGGGCCCAACAATAATTATTCTTTAGAAGTAATAATATTCAACAACAACAACAACAACAACAATACCAATACCAATACCAATACCAATACCAATACCAATACCAATACCAATACCAATACCAATACCAACCCCAACATAACCAAAACCACAACCACAACACAGCAACAACCGCACAACAACACAACAGCAACAACAGCAACAGCAACAGAAACAGCAACAGCGGCAGCAGCAGCAAGAACAAGAACAACAACAACAACAACAACAACAACAACAACAACAACAACAACAACAACAACAATTACTAGCACGTGGGGACACTCCGTTCTCACCAGTGCCAGGGTTTTCATAGGAGGCGGGCAATACCCCCACTTTGTGGGGGGGCCGGTTCAAGCTCTACCAAGTTTCCAAACGACTCTGCGCCACCACCCACACCCAGCTTCCCGCCCTATGACGTTCGGACACTTCACTTCGTGGCCTGCGGACGACCGTGGCTTCTACACTGGCGTGGAGTACACACCCACAGAAGTTGTTAGGACAGCGCGCGCGGGTGGAAATTTTGAAAAGTCGTGCAGGTGTTTTTCGAGGACCTACGGTGCGATTCGTGTGATTTTATGATGCGCGGTGCTAAAATTCTTAAGAACCCAAATGGTTTTTGGAGATTTCGGCGTGCGCGCGCGAAGAAAAAACGAATGTGTCCCGCATGGTATTATTTGACAGGGATGATGCCCTGGCAGGTGCGCAACCGTTGTCGCAGAAGTTCGAAAAAGTTGCTCGCAAAAGCCCGTTTGACAGAAATGTTTAAAAAGTGTTGGTTTTCCTACGAATCCGCAAGAGCGCGCGGGATGAGATGTTGACATTTTTTTGTTGAAAACCATTGGTTTTTTGATGTTTTTATGTTAAAATCGCTCCGAACACTAAGCTTTTGGAAGGATTTCGTCTTGTGCGCGCGAATGTCCACTTTACCTTATTTTTTGCAAGGGATTCTTGAAATTTGATTATATTAGAACAAGAAATGTCATTTTATAGTGTTTTTTGCAAGGGAAAACGGATTACAACAAAACAACCGTATCTGGATCACATCGTTTTACCTGAGGCTTCCTCACGAAAATGATGAAAATGTAGCTGCGGCCTAGGCGGCGCAGGGGGGGCGTGCACCAGGGGGCCCAACAATAATTATTCTTTAGAATAAATAATGTTCAACAACGAAACAACGAAACAACGAAACAATCAAACAACCGAAAACAACAACCAATAATCTAACACGGCGGCCGGGGGGTCGGACGATGGAATGGAGGCGGCTTCGGCGACCCCGCTGCATCCGTTCAGTCGAGCCGCCCGCCTCCCCCGCAGCGGGCGGGCCGAGCGAGGCCGACAAAGAGTGCCCCCAGGGGGGCGCCGAGCCCTCCGTCTCCTCATCCTCCTCCTCCTCCTCTTCCCCGCCTCCTCCTCACTCTCTCCGCCTGCGCCGCCTCCGCCGCCTCCTCCTCCTCCGCCTCCTCCTCTCTTCGTTCTCCTTCCCCTCCTCGCGTAGCCTCGTCCTCCTCCTCCCCTCCTCATCTCCTCCCCTCCTGCTTCTGCCTCCTCTTACTCCTCCTCCTGCTTTCTTCCTCCGCCTCCTCTTCTCCTCCTCCTCCTCCTCCTCCTCCTCCTCCTCCTCCCCTCCTCCTCCGATGCTATCCCTCCGCCTCCGCCTCCTGCTCCTCTTCCTTCTCCCCCCTCCTCCGCTTCCTTCCTTTCCTCCTCCGCCTCCTCCTCCTCCACCTCCTCCTCCTCCTCCTCCTCCTCCCTCCTTCTCCCCTCGTCCTCCCTCCGCCTTCCTCCTCGCTCCGCCTCCTCCTCCTCCTCCTCCCTCCTCCTCCTCCTCCTCCTCCTCCTCCGATCCCCCCCTCCTCCTCGTCCTCCGCCTTCTCCCTCCGCTCCGCCTCCTCCTCCTATCCTCCTCCTCTCTCCTCCTCCTCCCCATCATCATCATCATCATCATCATCATCATCTGCATCCATCATCATCATCATCATCATCATCATCATCATCATCATCATCATCATCATACATCACCACCCACCACCCTCATCATCAATCATCATCATATCAGCATCATCATCATCATCATCATCATCATCATCATCATCATCATCACCACCTTCATACATCATCATCATCATCACATGAACAGCATCATATCATATCCTCCTCCTCGTCCCTCCTCCTCCTCGTCATCATCATCATCCTTCTCCTCCTCCTCCTCCTCCTCCTCATCATCATCATCATCATCATCAGCAGCATCATCATCCTCATCCTCATTCTCATTCTCATCCCCTCCCCTGCATGCAATCCGCCGAGCCCGAGACCAGTGGCCGCTCTCTCTCCCTCTCCCTCTCTCTCTCTCTCTCTGGGGGACCTTGCGCGGCCAGTCGGGGGCGTCCAAGAGGGGGGTCAAGGATTTGGGAGGGATGTCATTGCCGAGGCCATGATCCCTCCCAGATCCCCTGGACCACACCTCGTCCACGCACACGCCTCGGTTCGGGCGATGGTGCGCATCTCCCCCTCTTCCTGGCTCCCCCTCTCCGGCGCACCTGAGCCAGGCCCCCCCCCCAGCTTCGGTCGGGGAACTGTGAGGCTCGAGTCTGCTGGAACTCGGGCCTGCCGCCGTTCTGGTTGACGGTTTCGGCCTTGCGCGGCCAGTCGGGGGCGTCCAAGAGGGGGGTCAAGGATTTGGGAGGGATGTCATTGCCGAGGCCATGATCCCTCCCAGATCCCCTGGACCACACCTCGTCCACGCACACGCCTCGGTTCGGGCGATGGTGCGCATCTCCCCCTCTTCCTGGCTCCCCCTCTCCGGCGCACCTGAGCCAGGCCCCCCCCCCAGCTTCGGTCGGGGAACTGTGAGGCTCGAGTCTGCTGGAACTCGGGCCTGCCGCCGTTCTGGTTGACGGTTTCGGCATGGACTCTGGCAGCCCAGCTGTCGCGAGACGTCTGCAGTGGGAGCCCACGTCCAATTTCAGACCAGGTCCCGCCGTTTCCCTGACGGCCCTCGTCGGCAAATTCGCGCACCAAATATTCGAGCCTCGCGCTGCCCTGACCCAGGGCGACTCCGAGACCACGTGCTCGGGGCCAGCCGCGGCCACCGGAGGGGGGAGCGGGAGGGGCGGCCCGCAGGGCTTGTGCGTCGGGCCCCCGCACCCTGAACTTCGACGGTGTAACTTCAGGAGGGAACATACACACAGACATAATGAATCGTCGCTTCTCCAGAAAATATGGGCAAATATGGGAAGTGGGGGGGAAGACAGAAACCCAGAAAATATGGAAAAACATAGGGGAATAGTTTCATTTGTTTGTATTTATTTGCGTGTCCTGGGGCTCCTTCATAATTGTGTCACCACGCGAACCCCGGAGATCTGAACCTCTTCCCCAGGACCAGTTGTTGTCCCTGGGGGCCGACAATGGCGGCAACAACAACAACAACAACAACAACAACAACAACAACAACAACAGCAACAACAGCAAAAGCTGCCCGTCGTGATTGGCGCACCACGAGAGGAGGTGGGGGGGGACCCCGAAGCGAGGAGCTGCTGCAGGAGATCCAGAATGACGTCGACCGCACCAGGAAGGATTTCGAGTTCTTCACGAGGCCGGCGACACGCCAGGCGCTGCAGACGGTGCTTTTCATCTACGCCCGGCTGAACCCTGGAGTCCGGTACGTTCAGGGCATGAACGAAGTCGCCGCAGTCCTCCTATACGTGCTGTCCGGGGACGCGGAGACCACAGGGAAGGGGAGAGGCGTGCTTTACGTAGTTCTCACGTAATGTTGTTGCGCGGCCCTCGGAGAGGGGCCATTTGAGGGAACGGCTGGGGAGAGAGATCAAAGCAATATAAATATATATATACAGACACACACTTGGGGCGATCGCGGCCTCGCGCGCAGCGACGAGGCGGAGCAGGTCGAGCCAGCAGCCGGGAACTAACGCACACGTCAACACGCACGCACGCACGCACGCACGCACGCACGCACCCACGCACACACACACACACACCACACGTATATGGGAATATATATATATATACATACACATACACATACACATACACATACACATACATATACAGATACCTATACATATGCATATGCATATGCATATGCATATGCATATACATATATGTGGATTACAATATATGTACATACACATATATGTACATATAGTCCTCTTCCTGCATGTTTATAAGCCTGGGCGGGGGGGACCCCCCCCGCCCCAAAATCGGACTCCTGGGATCTGGGGCTTTGGGGCCCTCCGGACGGGCCTCGAAGTGGCCCCCCGGGCCTCGCAGGGCGTAGGGGGGTCATCGGAGACGTCCCAGAGACCCCCAAGACAGCACAAGAGCGCTCCAAGAGTGACCGACGTGACTTCAAGATGGCCCAAGAGGCCTCCAGGACGGCCCCAGAGAGGCCTCCAAGAGCACTACCAAGAAGGCCCCAAGAGGCACAAATCATTTTTTCTGTTGGTTTTTGGTGAATTTGGGGGTTCTCCTCTTTGCGGCTTCCCGACGCTTCAAGACGGCGGTCTTCTGGGCGTCCGAAGCCGCTTGGGAGGCTCCAAAATCGCCCCACAACCATCCGAAAGGGCTTCCAGGCAGTCCACGAGAGCCCCAACACGGCGCAACACGGGTCCAAGATGGCCTTCAGAGAGCCCCATGGCGGCCCAAGATGGCCCCAAGACACCCTCCGAAGCACTCCAAATCGTGACACGGTCGTTCAGGGAGACCGCGATTGGAGGCAGGGTAGCCCGAGGAAGCCCCCACAGGCCCCCAGAATACGCCCAGGAGGCCTCCAGAAGGCCTTACGAAAGCTTGAAACAGTTTTTGCGAGGCCCCCAGAGGCTCCCCAAGGAGGAGCCTCCACAAAAAAGAGCTGAGGAGGATGGGGAGAATGCGCAGGATATAGCGAAAATGAGGAAAAAGAAGCATGGAGGAAAGATAACGAATAACATTATTATAGCGGCGATGCCGGAAAAGGCAACAAGGAGTTATCGCTAAATTGTCGGCTTGACTTTTCTGCTATTCCGCCTGTATACCAAACTTCAAGGACCAAGGTGCACGGCGCGAAGCGCCACTGCAGTCTTCGATCTATATATATATATATATAGATGTTCATATATATATATATGTGTGTATTGGCATCGCGGCCCTGCACGCAACGACAGGACGGAGAAGGTCGAAAAGCAGCAAACGCGCGCGCGACGAAGTACGCCAGAACCCTCGGAGACCACACACACACACACACATACACTTCTGGGCGCCGCTGCCTCGCGCGGCGCGCAGCGACGAGGTGAAGAAAGTCGAGCTGGGAGAGCGGAAGGAGCGCACGCAACCGGTCCCTCCGAAGATTGGGCGAGGATCCAAACATTCGGGGGCGGAAAAGAGGGGGGTGATGACTAGGGGGGGGGGGGATATCATGGCGGGGGCCATGATATTTCCCCAGATTTCATGGCGCCCCTTCTTATTTCATTACGTCCCTGGCCCCCCCGCTGGGCCGCGCACATGCCGCCGGTCATGATTTGCACCCCCCCCTCTTGGACACCCCCCTCTTGGCCGCTCCCGAAACATGGATCAGCAGCGCCATCCGCGAGCATTAGCATGGGCAGTGGAAGAGGAGGACGAACGGAGGGCGGGGAGTCGGCAGTGCCCACACGGCGGAGAGCGATAGGCAGAGGCGCAGAGGAGCCCGAACGAGCGCGGACGAGGAACACGGCAGCAGGTGGTCGATGGAGAAGCGGTGCGAAGACCAGTGCGAGAAGGCAGCACACACACAGACAGACAGACACACATTTAAGTCAGCGGCACCGAGGGTCCTCAGGCGCGGGCAGATGGAAGTACTAATTGCGATCGATCATAGTCGAAGAAACGTCAATCACTGACGTGCAGGGATGGGAGGTGGATGGGAAGGACTGTAACCCAGCGAAGGTGCAGCGGCCAGAAAACCGAGGTGCAAGTCCGAGCGAGCTCGAGTCAAGGTGAACTGGAGCGCGATCAGTCTGGTGCTACACGCCACAGCACCGTCCACGCCCGCTGT